ACATAGCCAATCCTCCTTCAAATGATCTCAAATTTTAACAGTTTAATTTTTAATGTTTTATTTTCAGGTTGAAGAATGACGTTCACTAGAAATGAAAAGGCATTGTGTGTGTTAGAATATGCTCAAACACAGTCAAACCAGAGTGTGCAGTGTGCATTTTCGAGAAAATTCAATAAAAATGCACCAACTGGAAAGCAGATTTAGATATGGCACAAAAAATTCAAACAGGAAGGCTGTCTGTGCCGGGCAAAGGGATCTGGATGACCACCAGTATCGGAAGATATTACATTCGTGAAGCTGTGAAATCGGTTATAAAATCTACATCCGTCTGAATTTCTTGTTCGAATTTTGATAAATAAATCTTGTATTGTTCAGCATGAAGCCTATTTAATTTTGTTTGCCAGGACATGTAGTAACTCAGATATTCACCTCTCAAATGATGTCAACTTTTTGGGACACGCTGTATAACCAAACAAGCATTAGTGTAACTCTTACCTCCATCGTCAAACAAAACCATAAAGAAAACAAATTTTGTTCAGCACAGAATGAAAGTTTCTTTACTTTTTCAGCCACAGAAAAGAAACTAAACTAAGTTATCTAGAAAGGTTATCTAATAGCTTGTTGTTCTCCTCACTTGATGAGTCATTTCTGCCATTGAGTTATTTTTTCTGTCCATTGTATTGATAATTTGAAGACAGTCTCTACAATTATAGGCCACAATAAGATATTTGGCTTCTTAGCAGTAATTTTAGCTATCTGCCTTCCTTGTTTGTTCACCAGCTAATGAATAAAAAAAAACCTTTTTCAAAACAGCCTGCCCCCAAAATTCCACCCTTAAAGCAATTGACATTTTTCAAATCTCAGATCTCACTCTGGACACTACACTGCTAGAAATAAAGGTTCTGTGCAAGTAAAATTTTTGTTCATCAAGGTACAAACAATGAAAATGTTCCCTCAAAGGTACAACAGTAGATTTAAGATCCAATTGTGATCCTTAAATAAGTTTTTTTTCCAGGTGAAAAGTGCGTATTTGTACCTTTTCATAAACTAATGTTTTAAAATAGAACAATAAAATAAAAAGCCTGGAGACGAGATGTTGTGTGTGGAGTCAATACAACTTAGAAAATATAATTTCAAGGGATTATGGCACAATTATGTTCCCTGACTAAAGGTACTGAGATGTACCCTTGAGGGTACCACCCCAGTGACAAGAGGGGCACTGACCCAGTGACAGTTTACTACCTTTATTTCTGAGAATGTCCAGCAGCACTGCTATAAAATGTGAATGAGACTTTCCAGTTTAGTGATAGTTAAATTTTGCATGTTGGCTGGAATGTCGACTGCATTTTATGGTGAGGTAACAATTTCTGCATATGTTAACTCTAATATTGTATTTGACTGAATGTAAATGTGGGACATTAAAGTCATACAGTGATTAATGATTAACACTCTGGCAAATTATTCTCTGCTCAAAATGTTGGGAGAAGTAAAGTTTGTTGTAAAACAACAGGACAAGCACGCACACATGCACACTCATCACAGCCAAAGACATCCAGTAGACTGTGGGGATTACATGCCCGTTGGATGCTGAGATGATTTTATCTCGTCATGCTGTAACGCAGGTTGTTATTAATCTCATTAGACCAATATCTGTCTGCACACTCTCTCAAACTCACAGCGCCATCGCATTTCACGCTACTGTTCTGTACCAAATTATACATTTAAAGGCATGAAACATTCACTTAGAAATTATATAACCTCTCATTTGAAATTGGCTGCTTGTTAAAGATTTGGTGCATATATATATACGCAGCATCATTATAAAAGAAGAATGAAAAGGGTTTATAAGGTAATGCAGATAAATGCAGAAAGTTTACTGTTAAAAAACTAAGAAACCCACATTTAAAAAATCTGTTTAACTATTTAAATTGTAACAAATACTTGCACCTCGTAGACCTTGCACACTTTACTTTTTGCCAATATTTTGTAACACAGGCCCATTTAAAGGGGAATTTCATAGCATTTTATTTACCTTCCCAGAATACAAGTGAAACTACACGTGTCTGAGTTTTATATGTGATGTTGATGATGGTAAAATAGTGCGTAATCTGAAGTTTCCTTGGGAACTATTTTGCCTTAGAACATGCACCTCTCTGCCATAAATGGATTAAAAAATGCTTTTTGACCAAAATATAAGCTCAATACTATCATAAAACAATGTCTTAAGCTTCAGGCAATATAAAGTTCTGTGTAATAGTCAGAGACCATCCTTCATTTAATTCTTTTCCAGTCAAAATGGATAGTGAGAACAAGTTTTTGTCATTTTTCAGCTTCTGGAAAAAGAGCAGAAAACATGCATTAAACAGAAAATTATACAGAAGCCTCATTAACTAAATACAATATCATTTTTTCAGTATTCAGTGTGTCCACTCTTTGCCTTTGTTACAGCGTCCATTCTTTTCAGGAGATCTCTGCAGAGATATTTTTCCACACCAAAGTTCAGTCTGAGAAGCTGGTTTGCATTTTCTGCTTTCACAATGTTCAGTTCTGGCCTCAGTTCTGGTGTGGTCAGTCCATTTTTTCTGCCAACACCAGCAGCTTCTTTGTTTGATTTGCTTCTTTGTTTTGACTTTCCCCTCCTGATGTTCTTTGATGCCATTTTAACTGAAGATTAAAGGGGAACTCCACTGATTTTTCAAAAACTCTGCATAATTAAATGGAAGAGATGTAAACAAAGTCATTCAGAGTAGTTTGGTGTGGAATACGCCGTTCTAGAGAAACTTGCCGAATCAGAATTGTTCACAGTGGTGGTGATAGGAACCAGACGTCTGAAGAGTTTAATGCCTCTGAACGCTCCCTCATAGAAAGTTGTTACATGCAGTTGATACATATGGATGGCGGATGGGGACATGCAGGGCGTTATAAGGCAAAATAGTCCCCCTATTTTCAGATTTAGTTTTTTTTCAGATTTAACACCATTTTACCATCATCAACATTGCATATGAAAACTCAGAAGGCATGTGTACATGTATATACATGTACATAGATATCAGTAGTTCCCCCAGATGTCTTTCCCATTGGTCACTGGCGGTTTTGGATAATACATAAAATGGCTATATTTGTGTTGTAGACATGGGGACCTCTGGTTCCAATCACCACCACTGTAAAGAAATCTAAGGCTGTACGTTTCTCTGCAATGAACCATCTCACATCAAACCACTCTGAAAGAATCTGTTTACATCTCAAGGACTGAATTACTCCAACATTTAGAAAAAAATGGTGGAATTCCCCTTCAAGGTAATAAAGGGTGCTGCATTTATAACCATTTTTTTGCAACAACCTTCTGTGTAGAGTTTTTTAGAGGCATTAAACTCTTCAGACATCACATTCCTGTCACTACAGTTGTGAACAGTTCTAAGTTGCTCTAGAATGGAGTGTTTCACATTAACCCACTCTGAATGACTCTGCATGTTAATGATTTCATTATGCAGAAATTATTCAGCTGTCAAAGCACCTACAGTCTACAGTCTTTGGATAGGAAACAATATGAGGTATTATTAGTGCTCATTCCTCTATTATGAAAGAAACACAACTAACACAAGCCAGAGTGAAAGCTTCTGTTTATAACTAACAACCTGCACATGTGTTCCTGCTGTCTGTTATATGAGCAGGTGTGAGATCTTGATGGGGTTTTCCTCTTCTGGTTCCTCCTGCCTTCTGGATCTGCCTAATGTCTTGTGCTCCAGAGATTCTCTCACTCTCAATCCATTTTCAGCTTCTGTCCTGGTTTGAAACATGCTTTAGGACAGGTACCTCCTGCATGAGCTCCTATCCTGTTTCTGAAAGTTGTAATGCACAATCCGGCCTTAGACTTGTGTTGGATTTCTAAACCACCACGTTCTCATATCTACTGTCCTGTATGTTGATATCAGGGTCCAACAGATGTTTAACAGTCTTTAATCGGTCACTGGTTTATCTCCTGGACCTTTCCTCTGTACAGTACCAGCACCTCTGTCTTTCTTTAAACGTGTCCTACTTGTATCTTAACTGCACTATACAGAGCAACCCAGAGGAAGACAGTTTTTCCTTTCAAGTCTTGGTTCCTCTCAGTGTTTTTTTTTTTTGTTTGTTTGTTTGTTTTAATGTTCTTAAGAAGTTTTTCCTTTTGAGTCTCGGTTCCTCTCAGTGGTTCTTCCCGATGCTCTTAGAGAGTTTTTCCTTTTGAGTCTCAGTTCCTTTCAGTGAATCTTCCTAATGACCTTAGACAACTTTTCCTTTTGACTTTCAGTTCCTCTCAGTGGTTCTTCCTGATGCCCTTGGAGAGTTTTTTGAGTCTTGGTGCCTCTCAGTCTTTCTTCCTCATGACTATAGAGGGTTTCCTCTTTCGAGTCCCGGTTCCTCTCAGTGGTTCTTTTTTATGCTCTTAAAGTATTTCATCTTTTTTTGAGTCTTGGTTCCTCTCAGTGTTTCTTCTTTACACTTAAAGAATTCTTGTAATTATTTATTTATTTATTTATTTTTCCTGGCGCTTCTTCTTCATGCTCTTAGGGAGTTTTTCCTTTAGACTCCTTGTTCTTCATAGTGGTTCTTCCTCGTGCTCTTAGAAAGTTTCTCATTTTGAGTCTTGGTTTCTCTCCTTCTAACTAATTTAAAGCTAATTTTGGATGATGGTTTTTGGAAAGTTCAGTTCACGTTATTACGAAATACGAATTGAACTGAGTTTAACTGAACCGCTGCAGTTTCCAACAGATGGCTGTATTTGTATTGATTCGGTCGAATATCGATCGCTGCTGCCTCTGCTTCTTGTTCTTCTGTCACCAGAGTGACATTTGCCTGCCAGTATAGCGTCACCTGCACGTCAACGCCCACCCTGCATGTGATTGGCCCGCAGACAGAGCCAGTAACGCTGCTGATTGGACACTGAGGAACGCACGAGTGACTTCACGGGGGAGTTTAGGTGCAGGCAGCGCGCGCGGGGCAGAAAAAAAAGTTTACAGCAACTTGACAGATGAGCTCATGTGGATGGATTACGAGGCGTTCCTCTTTAAAGGCGGTCCACGGGATTATAATGTGCAGTTTTAATAACACGAATAAATGGATTTGAGCTCCGAGGCGCGCGCAATGATTTAGATGAAGACCCTTTTTAAAAGAAAGGAAAAAAAGACAAACTTTATCAGAGCTCAGTGATGGTCACTGTGTAAAGACCTTGCAGATGCGCGTGCACGTCATATTCTGAGATCGCCCTTGTGTGAGTGAGAGAAGGTGTGTGTGTGTGTGTGAGTGAGAGAGAGAGAGAGAGAGAGAGAGAGAAAGAGAGAGAGAGTGAGAGAGTGTGCGTGTGTAGCATGGCCGCGGCTCGTGCTGCAGCGTCATGGTCCCGGAGCACGCGCCCAGCCGGGTGGCGGTGAGGAAGCAGCTCGCGCTCATGCTGCTCTCGGCGCTCGCGACCCTCTGCGTGCTGCAGAGCCTCGCTGTGACGTCTGCGCGCGCGCCCTCTGAGGTGGCGGCTGGAAGCGCGCGGTGGAGCGCTCGCAGGACGCTGCTGAGGCCGGACGATGACGGAGCCAAGCGCCTGCCCCAGGCCCTCATCATCGGCGTGAAGAAAGGAGGCACGCGCGCGCTGCTCGAGTTCCTCCGCGTGCATCCAGACGTCCGCGCGGTGGGAGCGGAGCCGCACTTTTTCGACCGAAACTACCAGAACGGACTGCAGTGGTACAGGTGACCACTCTTCATTCACTCTATCAGCAGAGTTATTAATTATGTGAGGTTGTTATTAGAACTGGACTGTTAAATAAGTTCTATTTTTATTAGTGTCAGAACTAATAATAATAATAATAATAATAATAATAATAATAATAACAATAATAATAACAATAACAATACTACTACTAATAATAATAATAATTATAATATTATTATTATTATTATTATTATTATTAAATCTGTATCTAAGGGTTTAGAGAATGTGTGTGTGTGTGTGTGTGTGTGTGTGTGTGTGTGTGTGTGTGTATGTATGTATGTATGTATCTGGAGAAAACACACACTCGCTCTGTAAGTTTATTCTATATTTATGTATATAATTATTAATCAGAGTCTGTACTGTGACTGCAGATCAGATTCAATATTAGCACATACACCCTGAGTAGGGCGCTTTTAATTAATGCGTGCCTGAAAGTATTTACTGATTAATTATTTATTAGTTCTTTAATACGCTGCCATGAAATTTACTCTGCTGGTGTTCACAAAATGGAGTTTTGAAAGTTTTGGAAACTTTTGCAAACTTCATAAAAGTTTTTCCTTGTAGTGCCGTAGACTGTTAGAACCTTTAAACTGATCAGTCGTCATTTGGTTTTAAGATTTGTGAATAATAATAATAATAATAATAATAATAATAATAACAACTTCATGAGTAATTTCACTTGAGTCAATGCTGCTGAACTACTAAAGAGAGAGATGGACTGTAGACTGTAGATCTTTATCCAGTGATATTCACATTGCCATTCAACTTGTCTCATGTCCTCTCTCTCTCTCTCTCTGTGAAATTTCCTAAAGAGCATGTCAGCTATTTAAAATGTACTAAACTAATAGGAATTGAGTGGAAATGGATACTTATTCATAATCATTACTTGTGTTTTTATTGATGAGTGATTAATTTGCTAGGCAAACACTCTCATTTCAGTCTCTTCTCTTCTTCACTGCTCTATGTGTGTAGAATCAATGTGCTCATAATCTCTGATCGGTTTGGATGTGTGTGTGTGTGTGTGTGTGTGTGTGTGTGTGTGTGTGTGTGTGTGTGTGTGTGTGTGTGCGCGTGTGTGTGTGTGTGTGTGTCTGTCTGTTGATTCTGGTATCTTGTGGCTCACATGGTGGTTTAAAAGGCCTCTTTCAGTCGTGCTGCTGGCTGTAATGGGTCACAGCCCACAACACAGGCTTTTATTAAGAAGGATTAGGGCTGTAATGAAAGGTTACCTGTCAGCCGGTGGAGGTGTATTTCACCTTTAGATTAAGAACTCTTCACTCGCTTTAAAAGAGCCCAAAAACACTAAAGAAAAAACTCTAGACTAGCTTGAAAAAACTTTGGAACAGCCTGAAAACAGTAAGTAAGTAAACAGCCTAAGGAATATCTACAAATGCTGAAAGAATATCTAGAACAGTTTGAAGAAACTTTAAAACAGCCTGAAAATAAATAAATAAATAAATAAATAAAACAGCCTAAAGAATATCTAGAAATTCTTAAAGAATATCTAGCACAGGGATATTCTTAAAGAGTCTGACCGAATTTTAAGACAGTCTGAAATCTAAAAACTAAAAAGGATATAAAAATAAATAAATAAATAGTCTAAAATCTGAGCAGCTTGAAGAAAATCTAAAACAGTCTGAAAGAACATTATAACAGTTTGAAGACAATGTAGAACGGCCTGAAAAAAGTATTCAAAAGTGGGAGAGAACAGACTGAAGAAATTCTAAAACTGGCTAAAGAAAAACTAGAGCTGCATACAGAAAATCCAGAACAGTCTAAAACATCTAGAGCAGCCTAAAGAAAGTTTGAAGACACACATCAACTCCAAAACAGTCCAAAGAAACTCAGTGTTCAGAACTTTAAAATAGTATGAAAACATTTTGAAGCTGTCTGTAGGAAATCTAGTGCAGCTTAAGACACAAAGGAGCCGGAAGAAACTCCAAGAAGTCCTTGATGGCACTTTATGGCTGATCTTCAAATACTCAGATCTTTTAAGAAACTACCTGGTGAAACTCAGTTGGGTGTCAGGGTGAGGACTGAGCCTGAAGAAACTCTAAAACTGAAAAAAAGAAAAAGAAACTCTAAAGCTGAAAAAAACGAAGAAAACAGCATAAAAAACTCTAAACGAGCCTCAAGAGATAATTTAGCAAGTTTGAAAAGAGCCTGAAGAAACTTCGAAAAACTGAATTTTACTCCACTCTGTGCGCACACACACACACACGTAGACACACACACACACACGTAGACACACACACATACACACACACACACACCATGATACGAGCTGGATTTTAATCCCCTGGCTCCTCACTCTTCCCTCTGAATGTTCACTCTGTCTTTACTCCATCGCTCTCTCACACCCCTCTATTTACCGATTCATCCATTGTGCTGTTTTGTAGCCGTGAGAGTGCCATCAATCCTGAGCTGTTGCTATGATCGTATGGAACTCACTGTGGCTTTCTGAAGGCCTTGCATCCGCTTTACACTTAATGAATTGCCTTCTTAAGAAGCGAGGGGGAGTTCACAATACAGGAAAAATCGCTACCCACTCAAACTATGCTATAACAATGTACAAAAGGACAAAATTCAGGTTTCATGATGGCTTTTAGGTAAATAGTTTGTCCCTTTTACAGAGGACAGTATACCATATAGCATAAGAAACTATATAAGCTAGTCTATTATAGATTATCAACTTCACACTGTGTAAGGCAACGACATGATGACTTAAATATCACTGTTGTGGGAACAAAACCTCGTATCTCCTTTTTTCAGGTTTTTACACAATTTTAAAATGTCTGCTGTCCTTTACATTATGTGTTTCATGATGAATGGACCAAAAGAAATGGCTCAAAATTACTTGGGAAAAAGTCTGGTTCCATTGACTTACACTGAAAGTAAAGTTTGTTTTTTTCTTCTCCTGTAAATTTGTCATTTTAGAGATATGAGGTTTTGTTCCGACAGCAGCGATATGCAGTTTGTATTACGGTAATTGGTATAAGCTTCCTGTTAGCTATACTAGCCCTGTAGCTTAAGTGCAAAACTAAAGAAGCAAACTTGACACAGCAAACATGTCTTGGCAGATCAATCACATTTGACATGAGGGGAAAACTGTAAATTAGATTTTTTTACAGGTGATGTGAGGCAGTTATCCAGTTATGGTGCATAAAGTGTTTCCAATTGGTAACTCAACTTTAACAGCTCAGTCCAGCACTCTGAGTGTGTTGATGTCAGCTGTTCAAGAGATTGAGCGAAGAACGCTGCCAGTTCGGTGTGAACTGTACCCCACATTTCTGCACCAGACATGACGATTTGATGGATACATACAAATGGCTCAAAATTATAAAAACAAACATGAGAATAGTTTCGCTCCATAAATTCTCCTGCCATACCCTCCCCCTCCACCCCAAGTCAAACCCTCTGGAAATAATAGTCTCTCTCTTTCTCTGCAGAGCTAATGTTATGAATGGGGCCCCCTTTTTTCTCGCACTAATCACTGTGTCCAATTTGCTGGAATTATGGGGCTCTTTTCAGGCCGAGCTGTGAAGGCTTGAACACAGAGACACCCATCTGCAGGGATGACGGCTCTTTGTCCTCCGTAATGGCTGACGGAGAGAGTGTGAAGGAATTGCACGCTGGACTGGGAGCTGTGTGGGAATTGGGGATACTTGCACTCAGTTGGTCTTGTTATTGTTGCGGATTATAGAGAAAAAGTCTTGAGTTCTCAACTTCGCTAGAGTTTAAAACTGTGCGTGAGAAAAGTGTCACTTTATTTTAATGTTCCTCTGATCTTTAAACAATTGAATGATTAGCAAACTGCCTGGTGAAACAGTGTTAGGGTTAGGAATGGGTTTTAAGTTAAGGTTAAGGTTAGGATTAGGATTGTTTTACTGTAAAAAAGGCATTCCAGCCTTTTATATGTTGTTATGTTAAGCAGTATCATGTCGCCTCAGCCTTATTGGTTTGACAAGACTTTTTAAATTAGTTCCATGAATTAATTAATCAATGTTTTCCCACCACAATATCCCACATTCTTTATTCAAATACACAAAATGGCCAAAAGTATGTGGACTCCTGACCATCACACCTATACAAGTTTGTTGGACATCCCATTCCAAAACCATGGGCATTAATATGGAGTTGCCACCCCCCCTTCACCCCCCCACCAACCCCACCAAACAGTGCAGGCTTCATATAGCAGTGACATATTTAAAGTCACTGAGCTTTTCCATACAGCCTATTCCACTGCCAATGCTTGTCAATGGAGATTGCAGGGCTACGTGCTTGATATTAAACACCTGTTGGCTATGGGTGTGGCTGAAACACCATCATTAGAAAGTCCACATACTTTTGGCCATGTAGTGTATATACTACAAACAGTGGGAATCCCAATCCTATCCTGTCCACAAGCCTTGCCACTGATCTACATGCTAGTAAATTTAATCTTTCCTCAGTCATCAACTGGATACCTTTTTTTTTTACCTTTAAAGTTAGAAATAGGATAAGAACTAGAGAATGGTTCAGTTTTGAGTTTGACTGAGTATGAAGTTTAGGATTGGTTTGAGCTTTGAGGTGAGGTTAAGGGTAGGCTTAGCTAAGAAATTGACTGTTTTTTAGTTTTTATTAATTTAATGAAATAAAATATTTTTCTGAGTAACTCAGATTAACTAGACTCTGTATGTGAAATATTGTCACTGTGCTGAGCTGCTAGTGAGCAATAAGGGGTGGAAGGGGACCTCCAAAGTGGAAGATAGAAATACCACTACTGTTAAAAGGTTTAAAGTGAAAATTAGGTTTCAAGTCAGGGTAAAATGAAGGCTAATCTAATCCAATTTAGCTGAATATCAGTTAAATAACAAACGAGTCTCTACAAGGCCTTTAAAGTAGACCATCAAAATGAAATATTACTAAAACTTTAGTGGAGACAGATTCTCTGCTTTCCCTACTTCTCACTTTTCTGTGCCATTTGTAGCAGAAAACT